AACGCTTCATTGTCAATACAATATGTTTCATCTGTATTTTCGACTAGTTGATGAATGGATAATGTTGCATTGTACGGTTCAACAACAGTATCAGATACTTTCGGTGATGGTACAACACTAAATGTCATCATGATACCTAAAAGAAAATGAGAACGATGAAAATTTTAGTGTCAATCTCAAGAATTAACTTACGATCCGGATATTCCTCTCGAATCTTTGCAATAAGCAATGTGCCCAGGCCCGAACCAGTCCCACCACCAAGTGAATGTGTTAATTGAAAACCTTGAAGGCAATCGCATGATTCAGCCTCTTTTCTTACAACGTCCAAGACTGAATCGACCAATTCTGCACCTTCCGTGTAATGACCTTTAGCCCAATTGTTACCAGCACCCGATTGTCCTAAAATTATTAGAAAGCATGAGAAAAACTAGACAGAAAATATTGATATTGACCAAAGACAAAATTGTCCGGACGAAAGAGTTGGCCAAATGGACCGCTGCGCACTGAATCCATTGTGCCTGGCTCAAGATCGATGAGAATAGCACGTGGTACATATTTGCCACCTGAAACGAAAGAGCAAGAATATAGATGCATTTTGTTTTTTTGTCCTCTACTCACCAGCCGCTTCATTATAGTAGACATTGATCCGTTCAAGTTGAAGATCCGAATCACCATGATACGTGCCCGTGGGGTCAATACCGTGTTCGTCCGAAATCACTTCCCAAAACTAGAAACACATCAAAATTTTATAAGAAGATATTCAATTCCAAAGATATCAACTAACTTTCGAACCAATCTGATTACCACATTGACCAGCTTGCAAATGAACAATTTCACGCATCCTTTTTTCTTATTTGTGCTAAAGATGAAGTGAGCGAAATAGATGATAGTTAATCTGTAAATAGGTATGATAGAAGAATCTACTCTTTGTGATAGAAATCTAAAATATGTGACAAAATATGAATATACAGGAAGATTTCTTAAAATCAAAAGACAATAGGGAATTCAAATGAAAAATCCAAGTTGAACATGATAAAATAGAAAAAAGAACAGTATTGTTACGAATTTGAAATTTCAAATCTGTTTGATAGATTTGTTATGACAAATTCTATAAGATGAACTCTTTATGATAAATTTATACTGTATAAATTTATCGTGTAGAATTACCAAGTTTGTTTTTGTCTAAGAGATTTTGTCGTATAGAACACGACGCTCATATCACACCGAGTAAACTCTTCTAGTGATGTGAGTCGAAAATGTCAGAATAGAAAAGAAAAAAAGAGAAAATCTCTTGCGAGTATGATACACTCGGAGCGAACTTATTTTCTGTTCTATACAAAACTGTGAATAATTGTATACTCTTGGGTTCGCGATAGTATGAATATAAATATTTGACGTCCTCATTTTCTTGAAGGAAAGAAAAGGTCATTGAGAGCATAATAGAGGCAACATATTTTTCTTTTCCTTTTTTTGTTTTATTTATAACATTTAGTACCGACCCTGACGGTAAAGAGTATAGTGAAATAAGAGAAATAATAACGGACCCCAGTGATTGGTGTTTTCGGTTTTGGGAGGGTCCGCATATAGCTTAGATATCGATAGATAGAGAAAATTATTCTCTGCCGAATGGTGCTCTTGGTTTTCTATAAAAATAAGTGGCATTAAAAAGGTGTAGCAGATGGCGCTATTGTCTTTACATGATTGGTTGAACACATCTCAACGTTGACTCACTTCACATCATCTCTGTAATAAATATTTCTCGTCATTTAGATAAACCTGAACCCACATAAAAAGAATATTTACTTTTCAGAAAATTTCTCTTTGATATATAAATGAATTTCTAAGATGACATGCATGTTTGCTCTTCGTAATAATATTTTTATTTTGAAAATGTAGACTACGAATCAGTTTCTAAGATAATAAATGCTTTACTATTGAAATAATTTATTTAATAGAAAAATTTAAAACCAGTCAAGAGTTTCACTAGCTATAAAAAACAATTAAATAAATGAAGAGATTGACAAAAAGAATGAGGTACATTGTAGAAAAAAAAACATAGTTTATGAACTATACGGAGGCTTATACAAACTTTAGAAAAATAAACAAGAATAAATTATCCAAGTTCGTGAAGAAAATTCCCTTCATAATGGAATTTAAGACAAATAACACCATGGAATAAAACGGCAGAGCAACAAACGAGAAATATTGGAAAAAGAACACAAAAACTTAATTAAGATTAGGTTTGTTACGTCCTATTTTCACGTTGATGTGTATATAGATATTTATAAGATGTTAATTTAGTGTTTTTATTAGTTATATATATTCAATGAATAACAACACTTTTTAATTCTCTCCCCTTACATAGAATCTCCTCAACATATATATATAATGTTGTTACGCATTACTAACTACGCAATAAATTTCAGCTCAAGGTCAAGAACAAAGTTTTCTTGACTTTTACAAGAAAGAGAAAAAAAGATAATAGAGATTGAAGAAAACGAACAAGAGTTCTTCGATCAAAGAAAAAAACGAAAGTACAGGAAGAAACAAAAAACATACAAAATGAAATATTTAACAGAACGGAAGAAAAGACAGATATAGTTGTCCATATATGCATACAACGAAAGAAAGAACGAACATATATGGATAATATATATAACATATTTCTTATGGCACATATAACCTATGTGCCGTAACAAGGTTGGCTTCGAATTTTTGTTTTGCCAAAGTATTTTCGAAAATGAGCACTGGGGCGTGGTGTTAATGATATTGTCAGTTATGGCATTTTCTAGAAAAAAGGTTCAGATCATATATGTCAAGATATAAGAAAAACTTACAAAATTCAATGATGTAAGATTATATTTCATTCCATCTAACTTTGGAGTAGAAAACGCACATGGTGATTGAAATATAGAGTGGTCTTCAGGAGATTCCTATAAAGAAATGAATGCATAAAATGTTATATAATATACCCAAACGACTAACATGAATACTAATGATAGTCTGCGACATTTCGGTGTTGTTCTTTGAAGATCATTCTTTAAGTGAAATGTATAATTAGCTACAATATTCGTCGATTGAGAAGGTTTCGATGGGTTTGCTACATTACTATCAGAATATTTTACTACTGGGCCAATGTACGATTCATTTAACGCCATGTCGGAATAAGATTCGGTAATACTCTAGATAATGTAAAAAGGAAAATTTTTAACAACCTCGAAAAAAGAGAACTGGGCACCAACTGTATCGTTTACGTAGATAGATTGAGATTTAATTGATACTACATCAGTTTTATTATTTGGAATTGATGAAGGTGTTAATCCCAATTTATCGGACTTGTTCTTTATTTATTGAAGCGACAAATTCAAAGAAATCTAAATGAAGGAAAATTTTAAAAACAGGAAAACTAATAATAGAACTAATGGAAGAACTAGAACACTTACTCTATTGCAACAAATATGTTGATCGCATTTGCAAAAAAGGTATGCAAGATAAATTATTTTTGTAACACTTGCAACGAGTGCAGCCTCTTTTACATTCACCACAAGTTTGAAGTCGATAGTAAGTTGACTCCTCACTTAATGCTGATCATTTAATTTTAAATTTATTATAAATACTTGAATAATCATAACCATTACGAAACATTGCTGATACTATAGGAAATTGTTCCAAAGCGTCGAATCACATTTTCACTCGTCTAGAAGATCTTAAACAATGCTCATGAAACGCCATAGTAGAAGGTAGCAAACCTCCTCACATATATTTTTTCGATCGCGATCCTTTACCCATATTGAACCCACTAAAATAATTTGAAAAAATAAAAAATGTGAGGTTCATATCCCTAACAACTCCATTTAGTTTTAAACCCTTAAGAAAGTTTCCCACAATTGTTTTAGCAACAAATTGGAAACCCAAAGACTTAGAAATTTTGATGCTCAGTATAAAACCAATTGCTTCAGTAAAGTAAAGAAACTATCTTGTTAGAGGAAGATTTTAGAATAGAAAAGCAATTAAGACATAATCATAATTTACTTTTTGCATGAAGTTCGTCAAGCGACTTTACTTTATAGTAGAATTAATAACAATTAATAAGTAGTTCTTCAGCTGCATCCATCGTATCTTGGGGTGAAAGAATAGAGCTTAATTTCATAATGACTGAATAATGCATGGGATTATCAAAATAACATTGAAAAAAAATTTCCTTCGTTATGTTTCGCATATACGAAGTGTTGCCACATCCTAACAGAGCGTGCAGCACTAATAAAGCATAATGATCAATGGATTGACTGCGAAGTTCACTTGCAATTGATTTTATGTGGCTTTCTTCATATATGTGTTGAAAGATTTAACCACCAGATGATCGAGAATAATTGACATGCTAAAGCCGATAGCTAGTAAAACAATATCAGTACTAAAATATAGGAAACATTGATTATCTTTTCCTTTTATACTTCGAAAAAGAAAATCGATCCCACTGAGAGCTGAAAGTTTTCTTTACCTACTTAGACGATTGAATTATGACAGTCTTGTGTTGTTTATCAATACTAATGGCGTTTGTATGCAAAATCATACGTGTATCAGATTCAATTTGTGTCGATACAAGAACATGTTCTGAGATTGGTAATGATCCGTATTGTAATGTAACTCCTATTTCATCAGGTCCACTAATGATTAGTAGTCGTGCTTCAGGTAAAAATTTAATTAGTGCCGGCTCTATCCAACATTCTTTAATACAAGCATCTAGAGCAGCTTGATTTGAACGAACGAATTTTGTAAATGGAGATTCTAATTTATCATCAGCTTTTAACTTGTAACTAGAGTTTTCTGTGTTATTCACATGTCTTTTGATGAACTTTTTAATTTCTTTTGCTTCTGAAGTATCAAAAACGATGTCAACATGACTCTGAAAAAAAAGGAGAAATTGTATTTTTTTCATGAAGAAGGAATGAAAGATAACTTACATGTGTTTTAAAAAAATCATTGATATTATTCTTAAGTAATTAAATGGCATATTCTCGTATTGTTTGAAAATGAGATTCAGGTTTTGTTTCTAAAAGACTTCCACCATCAATAACAACAGCACTTGCAGCAGTTGAAACTGGACATGATGAGTAGAAAGATGATGGGCATATTTTATACAAGAAATCAATTAATTTTGCTTTATTTTGTTGACTTAATAAATAAACATTACTGTTATCACAGAGAGATAAAGCTACCAGTGAATATTCATGAGCAAAAAAATCTGACATTGGTCTAAGTTGTCTTTGTTCAACTATAATTATTGTTCGACGAATTTCCTCATCGGCGAACTTCACCAAAGTATTATAATCCTCAATATTTGAAGCAACTGAAGATGAACTCTTATTCCTATGAGAACTAATAGACACGTAAGAATCAGCTTGCGAAAGTTCTACAGAAAAGCTTCAAAATCTTTATACAAAAGTCTGTTAAAGAAACTTACTTAAAAATGTTATTGTCTTCAGTAAAGCATCTACAGGAACCTGCTGTTGGATAATTCGTTCATGAATAAATAATGACAAAGCTTGTTCACCAAATTCATGTAAAGATGTAATGTTTGAAATAATGTCATCATGAATCACAAGATCAGACTGTATTCGCCCACATTCAACATGAGCCATGGTGAAAAGATTTTCCGGACGAAGTTTTTTAATGATGATGGATAAATCATTATCATCTAGTAATTGCCGATTTGGCGAACACTCAACATGAGCATCCATGAAGTTATTATCAGTTTCAATACTATAAATTTCATGCAGAGTTGATGCAGCAAGAGCATGAAATGCGAAAGAATTCGTCCAGTTATTTATTGCTTCTTCATCAAATCGACCATTTATGCCACCTTTACCCTTTCCATGCTTATTAATTGTGCATTCAATGAATTGATCAAGTGCAATATCTAAATTAGATAGGAGAAATAAGTCAATTAAAGTTTTAAATTTACTTGAGAATCTTCGTCGCGATCTTGTAACAGCAAATGCACGTGATAAACGTTCAAATAAATAAGAAGAACAATTTTGTAAATCCCACAGATTGCGCAAATAAGCGACTATAGTTTCGATGATTAGTTGAAAAAAAAACAGGTGCAAATCGTCTGAGAGAAGCATTTCTTAGTGCAAAGTTGCATGTTCTCACACCCACATATAATTCTAGAAGTGGTTCTAATAAATGATGTAGTATAAAAGACCAAAGCCGAAAAGTAGAATTTATCTCTGTGCAATCTTTTGTTCATTTCTCCATGGATGCTACAATATCTGACTGTTGGATAGTCTCAAATAAAGATTGAAACCATTTCTCTAAAATATCATGTTTAACAAATTCTGATGATATTGGTACTATATTCGTTTTCAACTGCTTTAGTATATCATTTGTACATGAATTTGAATTCGTATTCGAAACAAATGCTTCCAACTACAATATCTTCAGAGCTGTGTAAAGCAACTTGCAACATCTTAAGCTCTTATTAAAATGGATAACCCTGAAGAAAGAAAAAAAAATTCAGAGTTGGTAGCTTCCAACATTAAACACTCACTTGAATATTGCAAGTATAGTACTACCCTTATAAATGGTTTCAAGAATATCTTCGATTCTGGATCCTTTCAAAATACTCCAAATCATGATCATCATATTTTTCATGAAGTGAAAGTCTCTAGCATAAATAAATACATTTCGAAAAATATCTGCATGTTAACGCTTTGCCTAAAAGTAGAAAAAAAAGTATAGTAAAATTAGAAAACAAATCGATTCAATATACGCTCACCTATAAGTATGATCAATATATTTTTTCATCAACTGCTAGAACCATTTCTTTTTTGTGATCCGAGTCAACGAATAAGTTTCTTGTTTCTTCAACACAACTTTCCACTGTTGAATCATAATTTGGATCTTTATTTATGGGCATCAAAAAGGAGACTTTATGAAATGGTCGGGGTTTCCAAGGCAAATATGTAGCAAAAAAAACCAGATAGAAGTGGTATTTGAACACGCATAGCAGAAGAAGTGCAGAAACTTGATGTGGTGGTGCTATCATTTAAATATTTTAGTAATGCATACGTCAATAGAGGTAAATAGAAAGAATCACAATTGAATATTTTGAAAGAGAGGTGCGATTGATCACGTGCTGCAACTATATCATTAGATTGAGGACAGGGTTGCCAGATTAAAAAGTTAGAAATCGGAAATTTCTATACCAGAATTCGGAAAATTCGGAAAAATATGCGAAATCACTTTTTTTAAAGATTCGAAACTGTAATTTGACCTATTTTCCTGTGATGAAAGTACTGCCTACATGAACCATTATTTATTCTTATACAATTTACTCACAGTATAAAAACCAGAGATGGGCGAGTCAGCTATTTTTTTGACTCAAGTCAAGTCAAGTCATTTGTCAAAGAGAGTCAAGTCAAGTCATTTGTCAAAGAGAGTCAAGTCAAGTCATTTGTCAAAGAGAGTCAAGTCAAGTCAAGTCAAGTCATTGCTCGAAAAAGAATATTTTCAA